TGACTAGACAAATCATATCCAGACCTTGGGCATAGGTTCGACTTCCTACCGATTGCGCGAATCCTAATTTAACCATTACAAGTGTTAAGAGCTCAGTGGGTGCGACACTTCTCCAAATGGGAATTACCTCCCAGAAGGGACTAGCGTTAGGTTTGAAGATGGTAATTCCCTCGGGGGTCATTTGGGAAGTTAGTATAAGGGGATTGACAAGATGAGTTTGGAGAAAATAGTCCAATAGACTCCAAAACTCTTGCTTAGATGACTTTTTCAAGCCATGAACAGCAATCCCAACCCATAGCTGGTTCGACACCTTAAACCCTTGAATGCGAGTTTTATCAAACCCATAGGAGGCGGGTTTTGGGCAAGCCATACCTGGATTAGTGAGGCAAATATTATTTGTATTCCTAAGTTAAACAAACATAAGTATAGATTTGATTAACCAATAAACAATATAGTCATTTCTAGGACGAATATATTATGATAATACTAATATATCCATTGGTCTCATATCTATATGTGTTGTATATCAAACATGGGTATAAACTAGATTCAACATTGAATCTTATCATTATAAAGAAAAGTTTGAAGACATCAATACAAATTTCCCAAAAAAAAATCCATCCAAATAAGCCATTGAAATTAACCTTCCAGAGTGGCAGTATCCCCCCCCCCCCCCAAAAAAAAAAAAAAAAAAAAATCACTCAAAGAAAGAAATGACCATGATATGAAAAATAGTTTTATGTGGTCAAGATGTTAGAACTCATGACATGGGATTTTATGTTCTATTGAACCAACTCCTTCGGGTTCTCTATGTCCAACGTCTTTAAACCACCAAAAGATAATGTTTTGTCTAAATTTAGAAAGGTTTATCCATCCAAATCATGATTATGTGTTGTTTGGTTCTTTTCCAGAAGTTCATTAATTAGTTTTCCATGACATGTTCATTAGTCAATGAATCATATTGCTTCCTAACAAGACCCTACTTATGTATTTCAAAATGGGATAATTCATTGGTCTCACATACACACCCACAAACACTAGGAGATTAGGGACATTATACATGATCATATCTAATATGGTTAGCCTCAGTTTATTAGTGTTATGAGTGCTACCTAACAAATGGTATACCTCTCTATTTGGGCCCAGCTGGTCTCCTCTGAAATGATGCTCATGAAAAGAGAGTGAAAAAGATAAAGGAAATTCATACTCATACTTGTTGGAAGACTCTAATCCATTATTATTTTTTTGAGATTATAGTTCAATCTTCGGAGCATCGTCCCGTCTCGTCCTCGTTATACAACTATCTGAAATAGAAAATTAAAATTCTAAATTTTTGAGCTCCCTATCTAGAGTTGGTTATATATATATATATATATTTTTTTTTTTTTTTTCAAAATCGAATAAATATTTATATATATTAAAAATAGTAGTACAGCAATCGGAAATAGCATCCAAAGAGTCTAGCCCTTTTGAAAACCATGAAAAGAAGAGAAAGGACCCTGTGTCTCATCGAGACCCCAAGAAAGGGACAAAGACCCTTCACGTGAGCCTCCTTGACCGTGAGCTCAGTCACACACGGGTCACCACCTGACCCACCAACCAAAGCTCCACCAGCTCTCTCTCTCTCTCTCACACACACAAAATGAAAGGACCCCTTCCGTCAGTCAAAAAAAAGTTTCATGGTTTCTACTTTCTACACTGAAGCACGCAATCCCACGTGGAAAACTGTAAAAACCCAACTTCGAAAATAGATGAATCGATGATAATAAGAATAAATTATAAATTAAAACGTTTTAAGTTTAATAATTTTATATAATATTTTAATAAAATTTGAGCTTAACTAGGGTGGGCGGTCCTGATTTGGTTAGATTTAACAAGAGATCTGGGCCCTTGATAGCGGGACAATCTCGGGGACTGGGTGACCCACTTGTTGGGGTTGCAACCTGAAAAATGCCGACACTTTCCCTCTTCACCACCAGCCCCACAGGTCAGCATTCCACCTGGCATGATGAGGTGGAATCACTTTATTGACAAGTTTGCAAAAGGGTATCCTAGGGACCACGGACGTGCCATTATACTGACATTTGGCATGCGATGATTGTTGTAATATTCTGATATACGAAATCCTTATTATCGTGAAATTTTAGGTGTACATAATTTTAGCTATTAATTAATAAGAGAAATTAAAATTTCCAAGAAGGAGAAGTTTTACCCTCTTAACTAACCGATAAGGGAGACTAGAGAATACTCCTACGAGAATTCTAAAATGACTCTAAGATATTTACCATTCTGGGTGTCAATACCCTTTCATAGTTTTCTTCCTTTGGAAATTTACTCAGGAAAAAACTTCTTGACAATTAAAGACAAGTACATCACATAAATAGCTTAATCACTTCTCCCTTCAGAGTTAATGTGACATGCAACACATGAAATTATAACACTTTCTTACCTTACAAAGCCCGTAGGCAGGTTGCTACACATTACCTTTTAGAGGCTACATGTCCTTGCAAGACTCACCTGGAATTCACTCCTATCGGCAATAAGAGAATTTGCTCTGATACCACCTATAATGATCCACCTCAATTGTTAAAATATTATCTGTTTTTGGTACCCATACGGGTATCATGATTTTGTTCCTTTGGGACTTTAAAGTCCCACAAAAAATCTATTGACAATTAAAGGTTAGTACACCGCATAAAAATAGTTCAACCATTCTCCTCTGCCCTCTCAATTTGTTGTGGGATACAATATTGGAAGATGTAGCACCTCCTCACTTCGTAAGACCTGTTGGCATACTGCTACAGAATACTAAGTAGAATTAAGTAGATATTTTCTGAACTCAATTTTACCTCGAGCTTATGTCGAACTGAGCTTAAGCAATCCTTGTATGACTCGAGTTGAACCTGAGCACACCAAAACTCAAAAAATTTGACTCAATTATCACACATAATCACAAATTCTACGTACTGCCATGTTAGATGATAAGTCGCTACCCCATGCTTGGAAATATTCAAGTGGGGATTACAAATTGTGTCTCATTTTAATGGGGAAGATGAAGTGGGGCCATAGATGTACCATTTGTTTTATCCACTTTATGTGGTCTCTTCTTGTTGCTGACTGTTTGAAACAATAAGAAAATAAAAGAATATAAAGTTGAAAGAATCGAAAGTTGAAGGGATAGATAAAATATTATATTTGGTAAAGAAGAAAAATTAGAAAGATAAAAAGTGGATGAATGAGTTTTCTTTCTAACTCACAAAATTTTTTTTATCCAAAATTACAAGAAAAGTGGATGAAAAATTAATTATTTATGTTGATATGTATTTTATTTGTCTATTAGTCATAACCCGTGCCTGAAGGCACAATAAAATATAAAATTAAATATATGATAGAAATGAGTTGTGTAATATTTTTAAGGAGGAAATATATAAATGATTAAATATGTGATAGAAATGAGTGATGTGATTTGACGTTTAAATCTGACAAATAGATGATGAGTGAAGTAAGTGATTGATGATGATTTTGAGGGGAAAAATATGACTGGGATAAAATTCAAACACATTTCTGTTTTATTATATAGATATATCATTTTATATATACATATATTATGTATACATTAATTTCATATATAAATACAATGATAAAATATGTATTTATATTTTTTAAAAAAATAATTTTTTTTTTCATTTTATCAAGCACAAAAAAAAAAAATTAATCATTTTTATTTTACATTTATCCTACAAAATACAAAGGAATGAAAATACATCATTCATATTTTTTTTTAAAGAATAGAAAATATATTCCCCATTTTCTATCGAACCTATTTTTTATCATTCCTATCGAGCGAAGCATAAGACCGGCAGACTTATTTGCGCCCGAAAATTCACACTGTTATTTCCTTAAATTCCCTTATTTTACGAAGTTCCATTAGAATCTCAGAGTGGCATTAGTGAGAATTATTGAATCAAACGGTGGTTTTTAGAGTTAATAATCACCCCTGGACCCACTTGGAGGAGTTAATGGGCTGGGCCCATACAACAAAAATTAGAATTTTTTTACACTGATACTAATTTAAGAATATTGTAACCAATTAGTAATGGGGTCCATTCAAATTATGTCACCAATTTTTATAAAAATATTATTGGGATATAATTTTGAGACATAATGATCGTGAATATTAGATTATCATTAGATCACAATATTAGGGATGATCGAGAGATCAAATTTAACCTATTACAAGTAAGCAATTTTAAGTTCAATACAATTCACGTTCTCTAAGGATAAACCATTATTGTTATTTATAGGCAATGTCCTTGATCCTTACCTTTGGTAGCAATCCCTTCTCACACTAATTAAAAGTTAGTCACCCTCGTTCTTTCGAAACATGTTCTAATCTAATTCAAATTATAATGATAATTATTAAATTCAAAAGAATAATCGGTATAAATTTAATCCTCTTATAAAAATAAAAAAAAACTCAGCAATTTCGAAACACAAACATGATTCTGCAGGTCAAATGCGTTTGACAACTAAATTTTAGTAATTTTTTTTGGATTTGAAAAAAGAAAAGATGGAAAAAGTGGCAAACCCTTGGGTTAGGAAGATTAACTCCAATTTGTTCCCTCAGCTGTGAAAATGGCAGGTTCTATTTCCAACTTGTCTGTCTAAAGAGTTAAAAGAAGAGCTCTCTCTCTCTCTCTCTCTCTCTCTCTCTCTCTCTACGTTGCTATCCAAATCCCAAAGCTCTCTTTTTCAACCTTCGGTTTCCTGTCTGGAAAGTGCATCCACATGCTCTCTCTCTCTCTCTCTCTCTCTCTCTCTCTCTGCAGGTTTTAAGTACTGCGTTGCTTTGGTAATGGCGTAAAAGAATGAGAGCCCTTCCTTCACAACTTCTCCCTCTCTCTCTCTCTAAACTGCCATAACTGTTTTCCTTGTTCTTTGCTTTCTGGGTTTTCTTCACTCATCATGTTAGTTAAATGTTGCTAAATTTAGAGGTGAAAATGGGAGATAAAGGTGGTTGGAGTGTGCTGCCACCTACCGAGGCTCCATTGTATATACCCACAGAAGATCATTGGAGGCACTTTGATAACTCAGGAAATGCTGTTTCTTTTGGGTTTGTTGCCACTGCCATTCTCATCTTTATGTTCCTTGTCATGGCCATCTTTGAGAGATTTCTCAGACCCACCTCTCCGGCTTTGACACCGGCCGGTGGCCGGAGATTTGGTGACATCGAGTCTCAGATGGGCTTCAATGCAAAGTTTGGTCTTCCCTCACCAAAAGTGAGTATAAGATGCATTACTCTCTCTCTCTCTCTCTCTCTCTCTGTGGTTACTGAATTGTAGATACTAAATGTGCACTCCCAAATATTGGGGTCTTTTAGTTCTGAGAGATTGTGTTTTTTTCTCTTAACTGTGATTTTGGACTGCTTGTTGCTTTCTTTTTCTCTTATCTGTGATTGTTTTGGCAGTTTAGATGATATTTTTGGTTTTTGCAGGTAGTGATGATTGTTGTTCTGACATGAAATTTCTGCTTTCCTATTTTTATGTGTGTGTATCTGTGTGTATATGCACTCTGGTGAGTTCATACATTCCATAGGCCTTACTTGCGAGATCTCAATCTGACCGAACCCCTTACCACCAACCGACCAACGATACGAACTTGATACAATACGATTCTAAAAAATTGCCACGGTCGATAAATAGACATACAAAGTGCGTTGAATTAATAACATATTATTTTTTTTTGGGATTGACACGAATATAACAAGACACAAAAATAATAACACGGGATGATACGAGTGGGCACGAATCAGACACTAATTGAAGTTTTGGCTTAGTTTTATATTACTTCCACCCCCCATTGACCCTCAAAAAAATGAAAACCCCAAAAAATCACTATCACATATTCTGTTTTCTCCTAATTAATAGTAGAACAATGGATCTAAGGCAAAATCAGACAAATACAAGCTGGTACTCCTGAGTCCTGATCATCCTAGTATGGCACTCTATAGTAGGACTGTGCATAAGACTCAACTATAATGGGATCTAATTAAGTGGTAGGTCATCTTACCCCGACTACGGAAACGGTAATTCTCGAACTCAAATGATCGATGTATAGGTTGGGTGGATGAGCATTTTGACTATGTATATCAAATTACTTGCATACACTTTTTGTGCCTGTGGATGAGCTTAGGATATAAAAGAAAAGCACATGTTTGGAAAAGAGAAGAAAGAGAATGGCATGAAAATAAATATTTTGTATTACATTTCCACAGACTAATTAAAGGATAAGTTGATAATATGTGAAACATTGCATTAGCATATCTAGAATTTATTATTGCAAAGGCATGTGCATGTTCCCTCAAAATTCAATGCATTAGAAGGGAAGACTGTCTCTTTGATTATGATACTTTTTGCAATGGCCCATCCAACAAGATTTTTTTTCTTTTTTTTTTTTAATAAGGATTCTCTCCAAGGCATAGTGACATTAGATTCATCTCGCCCAATAAACTCCGAATACCTATAATTACCGGCTAACCCCGGTATCAATGAAACACAGAAGTCACCAATAAAAGTCAAATCCACGACGTCAGAATTTATGGTTTGCTTCAAACTAACACATCACTCCACACTATTGGGCTACCCTTGTGTGTCCCCCCCCCCCCCCCCCCCCCCAAGAAGTTGCTAGCTGTTTTATTGGTCCCATTTAATGACTTCAGGGGCTATTTGTATTTTGTTCTTGTATTCTTTGGTGCTGAACCCCACCACCACTGCACATTGTAACCATTAGGCCCATCAGGAGGGATCTTTATGATGGCCGCACCCCCCCCCCCCCCCCCACCAAAAAAAAAATGGCCAGCCCCTTGGTTTGGAGACAAGCCTTCAATCTTTAAGTTTCTTTGTTGGCAAGTCTTTGTTTATTGTCTTCTTTCCAGCTTTAAATGTATCCAAGTAGCTTCATTAAACAAACATCACCATTGACTAATACAAGTTTGTGTCCTATTCTTTATGTTTTTGTTAATCAATGATAAGGGATGTATGCTATTTTTTATGGCCGGGGATGAAGGATATATGTACGGATTTGTAATTTTAGGTATTCTACCTGGTGTTTAAGGTGATAATATATTACAAAAATACTACTTATAAATTATTTGGTAACCAAATTTGATGATCTGAAATTCACTGTTGTTGTCGGATTAACAGTCAGCCATCCTGAAAAACCTTTTGTATGCCCAATTTGAATCAATCTCAATGGATCCCTCATTATTACCCAGAGGAGAAGAACAGGTAGGGATGATAGGATTGGAACCCATGACATTTTTGATCCAAAACAAAGGCACTACAAAGCCTAAAAAGGGCCCATTGCAAATCAAGCAATTGCAGTTTAATAGGTCAGCAAGGTCCAAGAAACTTACTCAAAACATTATGGTCCCCATATAGCCATTCCACTTACTGAGAAAAGGCACATCACACTAGAAAACCTTATCTACATGAGAGGTGAGGGTCGAACCCAGCCACACTAGCCTCCGCCATATCTAATCAATATGAAATTTAGTTTTCTAGGCTAATGTTCAAATATCAGCCGATTCTGCTTTGCTAACTTGTAACCATTGCGTCTAGGTGAGACCTTTCTCTAGGATATGCCGATATAGGTCATTTACTATGATGGGATTTGATGTTTCCTGTTAATTATTGATTTTAAGGTCAAGAACCTCAATTGTCCATGTCATTAGAAGTCAAAAAATAGAAATATTCCTAATTCACCAAAAGGACAGTGTCATGTGCTGCACAGGCTTAGGCACCCATCCACATCCCCCGTTTTTTTCTCTTGTTGCAGATTTTGCCACTAGTAGTTTTTCACTTTTTTCTTATTGATTTCCTCGTCCATTTGTTGTATTTGTTGTTGTAATGATATATTTGGTATCGTTTTCCTTAAAAACTCACCCAATTAGTCGTCGTGTAGTAATTCTATTGGCCAATGGGTATGGTTGTTCTGATGTTATATCCTTAAAAATTTTTGAAAATCTACCGATAATACGCTTAGTCTCACTGTATGCAACACAAATTGCATGCTATATGCACGGGTCATCATTAAATACACGGTCTGTATTTGAAATTGTATGTATCATCGGAGGTTTTGGTTCAGTTCAATTAAGTTGGTACCTGTCAAACTAATTAGTTAGATGTACTTAATTTGTATGGCATTAGCTTATGGCTTCTAGATACAGAAAACCTGTAGAGTTTAAAACTAAGTCCTAGATAGAATGTGATCTTGATTGTCTGTGTAGGCTCAGCTCACCATCTTTATACCAATCTGTAGTTTTGAACGGCAATTCCCCCCCCCCCCCCTCCCCACCCCAACCCCAGAAAACACATCCCGAACTTCCTCCATTGCAGGTAAGTCGGAATATCTCCTCTTCAGTGACAAGTTTCGGAATGACTTGAAAAATGGCTTAATTCAAAAATTTTGAGATGATGCTTTAGAAGTACTAACAAGTAAAATTATCGTTGTCCTCAGGTTACTGCGAATGCTAGAGAAGTGTCGGTGTTGATGCCTGGAGAGAGTATCCCTACCTTCATCGCCCACCCCGCTCCGGGGCCTTGCCCCCCAGAACGCATACCTTGGCCTTCCCATCAACACAATTCATTGCCCAGTTTCATCCCAAACAACAACTCAAGCACAACCTTAGGCTCAATCTAAAAGGACCAAACGGCGTCTACTTTGTAAATCAGACTTACTCTGGAAACAAGATTCATCAAACTGCCATTCATGATCTAGTAACCCTGGACTCAACTCAAGCACAAAAACATTTCAATGTTGAAGATGCCAAGCAAAACATGCAAATATATGGAAATATGAAAGATGCCTCCCACCCCAAAGCATCATCAGAGAAAGAGCAGGCGAGGCTATACCTTACTTGCACTTGTTATCAATACCTTCCACAATTTTCAGGTTTTTCTAGGTGTGAATTGGATCCTTACAGACAAAACTATATTGCATATCACATGGACTGATCTCCATAGTGGAAAATGTGTATACTTTATTATACATACGACGAATATGAATTATCCCGCGGGAATTTTATCTGTTTTATTTATCTCGGATTTGTGGTACAACTACCTCGTATATGAAGAGACTGTTTTGTTTTGTTATCTTGTTCAAGTCTCTAGTTGTGATGTTTTCTAATTTGTTATTCAATTGTATAGCATGATCAGCAAAGCAGCACTCTCTTTTTGTGCTAAAACAAGAATTCTTAGTGCCGAATTGATCCAAAAGTTTACAATCTCCTAACGTGAAAGGCATGGTTTTTATTTGTCGTTTGAAGACTTGGACAAAAGGGATTAATTGAAATCACTTTAAAGTTAGGGGATTTAATAGAAACGAAATGAAGTTAGAGGGCTTAATTGAAATTGGATAAGGGTTAATGACGGGATTTGAAATGATATTCGTATCAGAGTTCGACACGTAGACACAAACAATAAAGCATCGAGACACTGTATCGGTTCTGAAGTCATGATTCGAGGAAATTTCCTATGCGGATTGAAAGAAATCCAAAGGCATGAGCATTGAATGCTGTGCAGTCATGTGGTCCCCCCTGTGACGTTATTTATTAGAGAAATGATTACGATGTATTAGAGAAATGATTACACATATTAAAAGGGTCATATCAAGACTACACCGCAATTCCATAAAAGGGATAACTCTAATTGACACTACAAAAAATATAGCAACTTTAGAGTAATTTCAACGATGTTATTTAAAATATATTTAAATATTATATTATCTATTTTAGTTAATTATTTTTTTAAATTTACTCAAATCACGTTATTTGACGATGCATAAATTGATATTATTTAAAATCAACAGTCAAATATATCAAGAGACATAATTAATGAGCAGTAAATAGGCAATTGACGGTAGAACGGTAAGTAAAGGCAAACACTCAGATTTATAGTGGTTCGGTTCGGGTGACCTACTCCACTCTCAGGAACGATAATGGTGGCCGGAGATCTTTATTGATAAATAATGTCACCGGGAGAGTAACTCCGGGAGTATTACAATGCTTTTAGGAGAGAGAGAGAGAGAGGGAAGTGATTGGTGTATAGAGGTGTGTAGGGGTTTTTAGTTCGTGAGTGAAGTCTCTAGGTTCTGCCTTTTGTGTGGAGAAGACTTACATTATATAGGTGACGTGAGAAAGAGAGCTTCTACTATTTTGATAACTATAATTAAGGTAAGATTAGATCTCCGTGCGTATTCCGATATTCTCTCTTTCGTGCTCCTATTCAGTTGGAGGAGGATCTTAGGCTTGGACTTGAGTTGGTGGGCGCTGGACTTGAATTGATGTTTCAGAGTCAAGAGGGCGAAGAACTCCACGAGGTTGCATAGGAGAGAAAGCATGGGACAAAGGAGGGACAGATCTCCTTGGGGTGGCCTCCCTTGGGTGGTGCCCCTTTGGGGTAGCCCTTGGGTGGCGCCCTTTGGGTAGCCCCTTTTGGGCAACGCCCCTAGGGGTGTCCCCCTTGAACTCCTCCTTGACTTTGACTTTCCCTTAACTTGGGCTCTTCCTTGACTTGAGCTCTGAGGTGACGTGGACCTCTCTTGATTAATTGGATATAACCCAATTAATTTTGGGCTCATCATTTGCCCCCATGCCCCAAGCCTCCGATTGTTAGTGAGAGGAGGTGGGTTGAGGGCATGAGTGAGCTCTTAATTTCTTGTTCTCCACGGTGTTAGCTTCTTGCTCCTCTACTCTGGAAAATTTTTCTTTTCTTCTGATAGCTCCATGGTTGGGCGGTTCCCTAAGCATGTTAGGCGACGCTAGAACCAAGATGGGTCAAGCAGGCGGAGAGTTGTGTGCCTTATTCAGGTGAGAGGAGAAAGGGGCGAGGTCTTCGGTTGCACGGGCAATGCCGAGGATAGTCTGGGTGACACCCAAGACTATGTAGGCGATACCCTAGTCTGTGCGGGTGGTGCCTCGGTCACTTTTTTTTTATTTTTTTGGCACTGGCCTTTCTTTGGGCTCTGGCACTAGGTATTGACCATTAGGCGCTGGGGCTAGGTGGAGCACTAAATAATGGCAAAACTTTGAACGACCATAATTTTTAGCTCAGTCTAGTCTGCGCTAGCGCTAGTTGGTGGAAACTTTCTGTGCTTTTAGGGTGGTGTCTCCTCCCTCCAAGAAGGCAAGGTTTGATACCCCCAATGCTTTTCGGCCCAAGTCCGATAGCTAGGTTGCTTCCCAGGAGATGGGACCCGGTGATGCCCCCACTCCTTCCCAGACTGGAACTTTTGTGTGTACTAGAGTTAACCCTTGTACCTCTGTTGGAGTTGAGACTCTTTTGCAGTTTTACTATGGGGACTATAGTTTCACATAGCTGTCATGCTTCTAATAGTGGCTCAGTGTCAATCTAATATAGTCTCACGGGTTGCAGTGTGCCTGGCAAAAATAATGTTATCCCAACATTAAAATATCTAACATGATTACCTGGAGAGAGAGACAAGTTGTTTGCATAAGAGCAAAGTTAGAGCTATGGACGTCCCGTGAGAGGGCCGAGTGAGCTGAGGCCGAGATACGTATAACTCAGAAGATGGTTGCCATGACAGAGGCTTACAAGATGACTACTTGCACGATAGCACAGTCATAAGCCAAGCTACGTATAACTCAGGAGATGGCTACCGTACCAGAGGCTTACTAGGTGACTACTTGCGCGAGAGCAGAGTCATAGGCCCAACTACGTATAACTCGGGAGATGGCTGTCGTGGCAGAGACTCATGTCATTAAGATGGAGATGAGGAGGGAGCTAAGGAGGTAGGCGCTTGGTACTGGGGCGTTGAGGGGTGCTGGGCGCAGACACCAAGGGGCACTAGGTGTGGACGTCAAGGGGCCACTGGGGGTAGACACAGAGGGGGCTGGTGCTAGAAGCAGAAATGTCTTTCTTTGGTGACATGCAGAAGACAAGCGACAGTCAGCCTGGGCACTGGCCTGGGCGATGCCAACCTAGGAGCTGGCCTGGGCAACACCAGCCTGGGTGGCCCTGGTTGATTGCGCTGGCTTGGGCGAGGTCTCAGGTCGCTCGGGCAACGCCTCGGGTAATACAGGGAAGTGGTTAAGCAATCACTAGATTCTGACTTTGTCCCATATGAAGCACCAGAAGTAGACAATGACAGAGAAAGTCTTGATGACGACTTTTGTCTTTTTGTCTACCTTGTTGTTAGGTCATGTTATGACTTTTGTAAGCTATTTGTAAATTTTAGGAAAGCAAAATAATTATGGATACAATAATTTTTGTAAAATTTTATTTCATAAAATAATAAATAATAAATTAACTGAAACAACAAATAATAGATAAAATTTTCAGGTGTTCAGTGTCCCATAGGTGGGCCAAGACTTTTCTGGTGGAGTTGTAGTTAACCCTCAGAAGATTGTTTGAATTTTTTCGAGGGGTTGTTGGCGTTCTCTGTCATCCTGATCTTGCCCACTTGTCCTCTACCAGCAACGTACTGCCTCAATTGACCACGCTGTATGAGCTCCTCGATCTGTTTTTTGAGATCAAAGTAATCGTCAGTGTCATAGCCGTGGTCACGTTGGAAACGACAGTACTTATTCGGGCTCTTACGGTTCATGGCAGTCTTCATCTTCTCTGGCCAACATATTGTAGGATTATCTTATATTTGGAACAAGATATGCATTATGAAAGGATTGAGTGGCATGAAGGCTTGTTGCTCTCTCAGAGGTGGGGGACCAAAGTGGTCCTTGATAGAGATTCTCTCTGTCCTACTCCTTTTATTCTCTGCCTCCCTCTTGTTTTCACGGGTGTCTTTTCTTTTCTCGCCCCCATAGGAGGACTCACCTTTTCTGGCCTTGGTGACATCCTCGGCGTTCATTTATTTTTGTGCCCTAGACAGTAACTCGAGCATACTGGAGGGCGATTACTTGAGGACAAAGAATATGAAACTGGAGGAGTGAAGACCAGCGATAAAGGCGGCCAGGGTTACCTTATCATCTGACTCCTCAATCTGGAGAGCCTCCTCATTGAAACAGACGAGAGGTAGTCTTTGAGATTTTCATCCCTGTCTTGCTTGACGGTGAGCAGGTGGGTCATAGACGAAGGATTTACTCAGTTTTGCAAAGGAGTGGATGGAGGAGGGTTTAATCTTTGCGAACTATTGGCGAGCAAACCCCTTCAAGGTGGTAGGGAAGACTATACACATAATCTCTCCAGGTATGTTCTGGAGATGCATGAGAGATTTGTATGTGTCAACATGGTCAAGTGGGTCTTTGGTACCGTCAAAGATCTTGATGGTAGGTATCTTGAACTTCGAGGGTAAGGGATAATTGACTATGTCCGCAACAAAAGGTGTATCAATACGTCTTATCAAGTAGTCCATCGTCTCGGGCGCCTACGCCTTGATGGCATTGAGGGCATCACCCAGTTGGTTTTGTACCTTTTTAATCTTCTCGTCCCATTGGTTGGGGACGTCCTCCGTTGGGTGGTTGTATCAGCTTCCATGATCTCCATATTACCTGTCTCCTTCGTCCTCATGCGTACGTACATGAAAAGGGGGTACTCGTGAGCTTCCTGAGCGCTCAGGAGGGACTACAGTGCGAGGGGCACCCGGACGTGATCCTGTGGCATTTTGGCGAGAGACCCCATGGAAGGGGGCTGCTAGGCACTCAGAGGGGTTAGGTTGTTTCTCCTCTCATGTTGAAGGGAGTGGTTTTCCTCCCACAGGATGAGGGGTGACATCTCTTTAGGTGAGCATCAACTGAATAATCTACTGTTTTTAGTTTACCAACAGTTACATAGTCTGTAAGAGTTATTGTCCGACGATAGGGGTTGCCGTAGCGAACAGTTCTGAAGGTGCGAGGGGAGGCAGAGCCTCCTCTCGGTGGGCCGGGTTGTTGTCTCCCGGTTGTTAACTCATTGATCTGGTCGTGATTGCCATGAATTGAGAGAGAGAGAGAGAGAGAGAGAGAGAGAGAGAGAGAGAGAGAGAGAGAAGAGAAAACTTAGTTGATTCCCACAGATGATACCAAACTGATGATGCATAAATCAGTATTGCGCAAAATCAACAGTCGAGTATATCAAGAGATACAA